TACTTTGCCAAAGGTGCTGGTCGTTCATAGGGCAGACCAGGCCTCTCTCATGCCACGTTTTGTAGCAGGAATGCCGAGGATGCAAACTGCTTTTATTATTACAATAGACTACATAACTTATATTCATAGTGAATAGGTTTCGAGCTTGAATACGAACTATATTTGCCCTAGGTCAATACAGTGATGAAGGTACTATGGTCAAATTTTCGCACATTTATATGCGACCTGATCAATGCAAATATAGTTATTTCTTAAGATCTATCATTATTAGCTAAATCTGCTGAATACAGTAGCATGCCGATTTTAATGGCAAATATAGTTTTGCGTTACTAGCAAATCCACTATAACATTTGATATAGGAGAAGCCTGGTGTAGCGTCTAGCGTAGTGACAAAATATCGAAAATAAACATTGCACTACCTGTATTCGATTCCGGTTCGGACTGTTGGTGAGACCCAAACAATGTTGACATTTCAGTCCATTCAGCTTTTAATAAGTAATTGAAGTTTGCTTCACTTTATATTATTATAACAATTTGTCTGGGCTGTTTGCCTGAGCTTTGGGAATTTTTGAGAGTACAACTTGAAATCTATTTTAGATTTTCCTGTATTTGACTCTCGCTTCCTATAATTTTTATTCAGCCATTCATGCTGTGTCGAAGGGTCTAATGAAAGTAATGTATACAAAGCAAGCTTAAAGGCTATCGACATTTATGGATTAAGTATTCTCTAATCAAATGCCTACGCATATTTAAAATACGTTACCAGCTGATATTTAACTATACTTCTTGATATTCTCATTCTAATCATACTTGTCGTTTTCAAGTGGCTATTATTTTAAACTATTTCCCATTATGTAAAATAGTATAAGCGTGATTCTTATATTTTTACTATTAAGTTGTAGCTTTCGTAGCATTGATAACACCGTTGGGCGAAGGGAGACTTGTATCCAATATTAGAGCATTGAAATTCAAGTATAGATGCAACCTCATATTGGTTGTATTCTCTTTCACCTAATAGCCCCTCAATTGTTCACTTTTCCTTCCGTCTGTCCATCCCTTATTTTTATTTTTTATCAGTCCTCCTGTCCATTAGCTCCTATCTTCATTCTTTTTTCAGTATTCGCTTTTCTATACTTCTCCCTCTTTATTCTTCTCATTTATTTAACTCCTTTTTCTTTTACTTTATCTCAGCCAGCCATAGATAGTGTATCAGAGAAGTCTTAGTGAATACCTCACTTTCATTCATACATTTTCTGGGTTTTTTTAACTAAAATTCTTGTTTGAACTCAAAACAGTCTTTTCCTTTGTTTCTTCAACTTCGTTTCGACGCATTTCAAGGACGGGTCATTCCTGGCAGTCCCGCAGACCTGTGCGGAAATCTACGAGTTGGAGACCGCATCCTGGCTATTAATGGCAAACCGCTGACCTCCAGACACCATTCAGAAGTTGTTGACATCATCCGTTCCAGCCACCAACGCCTCGTATTGACGGTACAGCGCCTTCCACTCACCAACCCCTGCGGCCACAGCCCTTGCGGCCGTGTCCCAGTCAGGCTTTCTGACAGAGCGGACACCTGCCCCACAATTAGCCCATCATCCAGAGGCAATGAACCAAACGAGGGGATTTCCTCACCTGAAATCTCCCCTACGAGTCGTATTTCCGCCAAGCCAACACGATTCATGTTCCATTCCCATCACAATGACCCTTCATTTGGTGATACAACCAATGGCTTATGTTCAAACTATTTTGACGGATGCTCTTCTGTTACCAATAGAAACAATTATAGTACTATAGAGACCACGAGTGGCTCTGAAACCAGGACTTACCAGGGCAACCGTCTCTGGGTCGAGTTGATTGGACAGGAAACATCCACCGCAATGGAGGGCGCCAACTCCGACGGTGACAAGTGGAAATGTGGCGGCGTTGTGGTGTCCTCACAACCGTCATTAACTAACGGTCAAAGTAGGTGAAACTCATTCTCATAATCTTTTTTTGTCTTTGATTTCACCGAATTTAACCATCTTTTCATCCTTTTTGGCATAGTTAAAAGCTGAGCTTACTTAGAGACTTCCTTAAAACGCCCTCAATTAGAAAAATGGGAGCACAATGCTTAACATATATTTTCATGATTGAAATACAAATTGACTTGTCTTCGCTTTGTGATGGTTTATAATCTCGTTTAATCATGGGATCTATGCTCCCGAATACCAGTGAGCAAATGCATTTGGTATTCTCTTCTTTGTCAGTTAACTTCAATTCATTGGATTTCATTTGACGTTAGGATCGAGCTAGATAACATTTCCGTTTAAAACAGCTGGGGTGAATTTTTGAATAATTACAAACAATTTATGATGTTTTTATAGCAAGTTGTTGTGAGATAGGAGTTGATTTTTTATTAGGATTATGTGGTTTTTAACAAAGATATGAAAATCAAGCTGGTGTGTACTTCTGTTTCGTCACAATTTCCTTTAACTTTGTAATGTTGTTGGTTCAACCTTGTTTTCGCAACTTGGTCGGAGCGTCAATGAGACCTTATGGAACATAGCTAGTCCCTTATCATCTGCCATAGTATTCATGATTTCCGGCATTGGGCTATTGGCTGGGTACATTCCAAAACGTGAGAGGGGAAGTGTGTTGGATGTGGAAGAGGAGAAACACTTACTTTATTGGATGTGAAAGTCATTCGCTCTGAGGAAACTCAAAAAAAAACTTTTCCGAAAGAAGTCGCATGCTGGAATAACTCTTAACTTCTAGTCGAACCATACTTATGGGATGAAGATTGGAATACTCCGGAGTATGATGATAAGAAGCTTACGATTGACTGATTCTGAGTTCTGGGAAGAGGAAACGGAAAAACTTATTCAGATGTGTCTTGGAAACGGATATCCAGAAGAAACAATACAATGTAACATACGGATGGTGATGAACAAATGAAAGGACAGAGACTATGAAAGGAAAGCAAGAGGAGCAGAAGAAAAATTATAAATATGTTTACCCTTCTGCGAAATGACTCGGAAGCTACAGCCAAGCGGCTACGACTTAAGCCGGACACAGGCCCCCAACGAGTGAGACACAATGTGGGTGGGGATGAGGGAGAGGATAATTGAATCACGGCTTTGAAGCCTAGGCAGAGAAAGACCTCCAGACTCTGACATGCTCATGGGCATGGAAATGTTCATAATCTGCTCTAACTTCTTAAATGTGGCGTAATCGAGGACTGGAAGGGAAGGTTATTAGGCAGCCAGATTTCAGACAGTCAAACAGTGATTTTGATGATATGAAGACCAAGATATTGTGACCACTGTTATGGTCGCAGTTGCGACCAAGTTGCCACAACGAGGTCAACCAACTTTTAGTGAATTTTATGTTTAGGAGCGGCCAATTGACAAGCTGATAGGAAGAAGGGAGGTAGAATGTAGGCTAGGAGCCCTGCAAACGGCATCTGGTACCGGTGGTGGAGATGATTACGCCTCACTAAACTCACTTGTAGCGAGTAGTATAAAAAATAAGGACGAAGGGTGATGCCATGACGGTTGAGCAGAAACTTGGCAATGGGTTTTGCTTTCACATGCCACTTTGACACGTTGTAACTCTGTGCCTACGATAGCGCCTCCCACCGATGATGTCGACTACGATGCCGGCGAAACAGTTGCGATTGTATCAAGTCGATGGTCAGATGCTGGAAATCACGAACACTATGACAACGGACGCAGCACTGGGTATGTTCCATAAAGTCTCCCTGATGCTCCGATCGAATTGTAAAAATAAGGTAAAACCAACACTAGAACAAGTTTCACCCAGGCCAAACTCATTATCCCTTGTGCTTTTCAATCCTTCTTAGCTTACCTTAACACTTTTCCCATTACTTTGTTATATGACTATTAGTCTCCAAACCTTTCTTATGAACGAAAAATACTGTTATAAAGTACAATGTATAATTTTCTATACTAATATTACTATTTAGCATAAATTTCAATCTGTATCTGTTGCCATAGCAATCGGCGAGACTTTACTAATGGATAAATGGCAGTGATCACTTGTATTTCATGCATTTTATTTTGTGACATTCCACTCCTGCTTCTCTTTTCATAGTTGCTTTCCAATATTTTTTCATCCCTTCAGATGGGGTTTTATAAACTGTACCTCTTCAGTCAGTTTTTAGCATAAACCATCACTAGAGATTTCCACATTGATAGAATCTCTCAGCTGAGCTATAGTAGATCTAATGGTTGCTAAGTTGTCCCAAGGCCTTAGGTGAGATGCATTTGATATGCCAGAGGCAATTTTAGCTTTGACATTTAGTTACATTATATCTTGTGTCCGAACAGATCATTTTGTCATATTCATGGCATTTGGGCTGAAGGTGCATTGCAATTCAATATCAGGCCTTTAGTTTCATAACTATCAGGCGTAAGAGCGTCTGTCACATTCAATTACTACAATGCCTCAACTATCAATGATTCATAAAAATGTTTCCTTTGTGCTATCCGAATTTCGTGTGATTCTATAAAAAAATCCTCTTGCGCTTATTTTCTTATGATGACTCACGAAATAACTAAAAGGATAATGCGAATTATGATATGTTGAGGTATATGATTCATAACTACATATAATTTTATTCTTCTGAAAGAACACTGCTCAAATAAGGCTGAGCAGTCAAGGTAACTACATAATTAGGCATTTCAGGTCTTCTCGACGCTTGAATAACAGCACAAAATCTACTAGGTGGGATAGTGCTGCTTGCCAATAAGTCATCGAAACAAGAATTGGATAAGAAAAACTTTTGGGAAAGCCGGGCTATATGAAATTCAATGGAAATGTGAGCTCTACTCATATCATTATGGGAAAATTCTACTACCAGTAAACGAAATTGGGTGAATACATATCATATTACTGATTTACTGTTAGTCTCGAAATTCTACTTAAATATGAAATATTTAGACAAATAAATTTAAAGGAGAAACCAGCAAGCGTTATTAGATCAAATGAAGATCTCATGCACTCACCCTCGGGGTATAGCCAACACGAGCAAGTAAGTAGTTAGGATTTTACAAGGGAAAATTTTCATACATCCCTATAAACACAAATCGTCAAGTAGTGGGTCGACCTCGTTATCACAACTTGGACCTAATCTTCCGCTTCTTTGTGTTGTCATCGTATGGAGCTTTCCTTTCTGTTGCCTTCCAATTGATCTCGTGTTCAGTCCGTTTTTAAACTACCATTTTACTCTTGACTAAGATCCTTGACATGACCTTGATTCCCATAAGGTATTTTCATTCCTTTTGGAAGCAAGGATATGTTAATTTCAATGGAAACATGAGGACTACTCATTTGATTGTTGGAAAATCCAACTAATGGTCATTCATCACCTTATGGGACCTAGGGGGAGTACAGCTTTCATTCACCTAGCTTTGCCTCTTAAAATATCCTCTTATCCAGTGTTAATTTCAGTTTTGCCCTGAAAGCACGACTGTCCTGAGAATGGGATAACACCTAATCCGTACATTGAAGGAAGTTTTTAACCAAACCAACAGCCAATCCATCTTGGTATTCATAGCCCCGTATCCCAATTTAAAGCTTGTTTATATACCTTGGCTAGGTTTATCCAGTAATGCCTTGTTTGGCAGTGCTTCATCTGATGATCAGCATGGTTCGATCTAACTTTTAATGTGTAGAAGTGATCTCCTATTTTTCCAAAATTGGCAATGCTATCGGGGGGACTTGGTGGGACGAATCTGGTTCGAAGTCCTTTAGTATAAAAGTTGTCATAATTCCCAGCTTCTGACCTTGGACTTGGTACATTCCCAAATGTTTGGCCGGCATCGTCAGTGAGTCTTGCCTGTTTCAGCACCAAACTAAAACTCATCAAAGAGACAACTGAAGTCAATCCCTTGTCCAGCTGGACGGTTATGATATCACTCCTCTTTTGATCCTGACCTCTTTATCTACTCTCTACCCTCCTATCTCACTCCCACTCTACCACAGCTTCTTACTTGTTCCTATTCTATTCCTCGAAAGATGTGCACTTTTTACGTCATTGGGCCTCCCGTTTACCCTTACCCTCTGATCCGACCTGGGCCTCTCGTCCATATCTCCCTCATTGGCCCTTAGATAGGTTTTTTTTCTTTCTAGAAGTGGGTTGACCTCGTTGTCGCAACTTGGTATTGTTGTCAGGGCGACTTAGTAGAACGCACCTAGTTCGAAGTCGTCTGCCATGGTAGTTGTCATAATTTCCAGCATCAGACAGTGGACTTGGTACATTCGCAGACGAATAGGAATTATGACAACTACTATGGCAGATGCCTTCGGACTAGGTGCGTTCTACTAAGTCGCCCTAACAACACGACCAAGTTGCGACAACGAGGTCAATCCACTTCTACAAATCGAAAATAGACTGCGACCATACCAGAGGCCACACCATCTTGGTATTCATATCTTATTTTCTTTCTGTTTGACCGATTTCACTCGGTCCTAATCTATCTCAGGCGCTATTTCTCAAGCCTTCAGTAGCATGTACACTGTTGTCTCACCGAGTAAAATGCATAAGCTCTGATTTCCATGCTTGCAGATATCGAGCATTGTCTTCACGGGTCATTACTTAGATTTAACCAGTGTACCCTGAGCAAACTGTCGACGCCTATCTCTGGTCGCCTGCTGGCCTTTGAGTGGATTTTTAACCCATTTTGATATAATGCCGACCTTCTAGGACGGTTATGATTATCCGTCTCCCTAGTTCTGTGACCGACTAAGTTGCACAAACGAGGTCAGACCACTTGTATACACCGAAAGGAGACTGCGATCAAAATAGAAGCCACAACATCTTGGTCTTAATATCTAAGTTTTAATGTGTAGTTAGTCAAGTGTTATCATTCATTTTTTCGTCATTTATACAAGTCGTTGCATGTTATCAAGCCCAATTAAACGAAGAACTTTTCGTCCTTCAACTTCTCACTCACTGTAACCTGTAGGATGAAATCTAAGCCTGACTGACATAATGCATAATTGAGTAGGGTTTCGAGACTACCAGTAACTCAGTGTAATGAGATGTATTCACCCCATTTCGTGTAAGGTGATGAAGGACTGGTAGTAGAATTTTCCCAC